TGCCATCCCTTCCCCTACCCCCCCCCGCCCCCCGCCAAAGAGACCTGGAAGAGTAATGAGCACAATTGTCTTTATATAAATGGAAGCATATCTGGTTAGATAGTTGCATTAAGTTACAAGAAGTCAGTATGAAATTTTCAGTGTCCATTGATTTGTTTCCGACACCCTAGACAAAATGGACCAGGGCTCATGTATATCCTATTCAATGTACATTTAGATCTGTTTCTGTAAATAAATATTTCTTTGAATTCATACACATTTTATTTTGTTGCACTTAACTTATGTGATTCTTTTAAAAAAATGAATGTGAACGCTAACGGCAAAGCATCTGATCATGCATTTCTAAAACAATTTTCTCATGCTGTGGTCTCTAATAAACAATTTCTTTAAAGTCAAGGCATGTTCATTCCCAAATTGCCCCTTTCCTACCTCTACTTTTGTACAGTTCATGCCAACCTGTCATGACATAAATTGACATCTGATGGATCAGTCTCTTCTGCCTGGGGCTCTGTACTCTTTTATGCCTTTCCATAGAAATCACAGAGAATGTATTCTAATGGTTGCAGCCTGAAAATTCCTGGGACATTCTAGGGATCAATGAATTATTTGGGTTTCTCCCTCCAAGGCCAGAGAAGAAGCTCCAACCTTAGAAGATAAAACCTACTTTCATTTTCTTGCCAGCTTCTCTTAGAAATGTGTCAGAAATGTGGTAAGGCAAGGGTTTTTAAATTTTTTAATGTTTTTAATGCAATTTAGAGGCCGCCCAACTCCAAATGACTCTGGCCAGCTTACATTCAAAAGAACAAGAATGATAAAAAATAAGGAAACAGGTTACATGCATCCAGAAGACAAATTCTCTACAACAACATCAACAAATCCAACAAGGTCTCAACAACACTCTGCCTCAAGGCCTGGGAGAACAGCCACATTTACAATGACTTTTTGAATGTCATGAGGTGGGAGCCATACAGATCTTTGGGGGCATGCTGTTCCAGAAGGCACACAGAGAAGGCACACTTCCTAGGTCCCAATAGATGGCACTGTTTAATCAAAGGGACCCAAAGCACACCCATTTTATCTGATTTCACTTGGTATGCAGAAACAATTGGAGATAGGTGATCTCTTAAATGACCAAAAGTATGCCATGAAGGGCTTTATAGGTGGTAACCACCACGTTGATTTGCACCCAGAAGTCAACCAGTGCACTCAAGGAGCAGTGGAGTCACATGGGCATACCATGGCATGCCCATCATTTCCTGCACTGCTGCATTCTGGACCAGCTATAACTTCAGCCCATATAGAGTACATTGCAGTTTTCCATTCATGAAGTGACTAGGGTGTGAGTTATTGTCTAAAGGGCCTCCCAATCCTGGAACAGGCACAACTGGCACAATAGATGAATCTGTATGAAGGCCCTCTTGGCTACAATTGCCTGATTCTCTTTGAGCAGCAGCAGCTTTGAATCCAAGGCAACCAACAATCAGAAAGTGATTTGACTACAGCAACAGACTAGTGGTAATGTCTTCGAGTACCAAATCAATCACAACTGCCCCATGACAAAACTAGATCCAAAGTGCTTCCACTGGTAACGGTCAGGCCTTCAATGACTTGGGATAGGTCCATGGTTACCATGATGGCCATGAACTCCTAAGATGCTCCAGACCCAATGTCACCTGGTAGTAAGTTGAAATTCCTAAGGACTCACAGGGTCTCCATAATCAATGGAATCCAGCAGGTCAGGCAGGAATGATGTTGTACAGCAGGGAAGACAATACAAAAGTAGCAATTCCAATTGTTCCCTAGAGCCCAACTTCAACTAGAGGGTCTCACATCCAGTTATCTGTAGCACATAGCCTCTGAAAACCCTCAGTGACTCACAGATGACAATAACCAACTCACTCCACCCTCCCCTGGATTCTCAGTTGATGCCAACCTTGAAACCTGGACAGGCACATTTCTGAGAGACGAACTCACCCTCCAGGTCTACCCAGTTCTTGGTTATACATCCCATGTCAGATTATCAAATGTGGTAAAGGTCAGAGTCAAAGTTCTTCTAGTCTTGTGCCATGATCCCAATACAGAGAAAAAATTAGTTGATCCCTAACATTAAAGCATCTTCCTTCCATTGTTTATAATGGAAAACAAGTTTTAAAGACATGTACAAATGCATAAAAAGTAGCTTTTCTCTGCATTTTTGCCTCCCCTGAAAAGCCAAAAAAGAAAGAAACAGAATAATGTATAACACTAAATAAATAACAGTATATAAACAGCAAATACTGCAAGAACAAATGCATGAGAAAGAAAGCTACAAAACAGTAGACAAGACTTAAGCATTATAGCTGCATTATATAGTCAAAAAGAGGACAAAACTGAAGACGTTTTTGCAAACGTAGAAATACATATTTGAAAATAATTAGGTGATGTTAAACTGAAATGCAGTACATCACATCACAGTAGGGATGATTGTCCATATGACCTGTATGCTTATTCTGTGTGCTGTCCTGGTGCACACTGGGATAATAACTCAGTAGCAGACCACTTGCTTTGCATGCAAATGTCCCAGATTAAATCCTTGCTGTTTCCATGTAGGGCTGGGAATATTCTGCCTGACGCCTGTTGAGCTGATATAGAGCAGACAGCACAGAACAAGACAGACATGGTTTCACTCAATGGTTTGCTATATACTCATGCTCCTAACTCCTGATATGCAATGCCCTTGCTCTGCTTTCCCAATTTATATGTATTTGAACTGGCCATGGATCAGACAATTGTCAGTCAAAGGACTGTCCTTGTATTGGAAAATGCAAGGGTTTCTATTTTCATTCTTATGAGTAAAACTAATAAAAGTGATGTTTGCTGGGATCAGGCATCCACCACCATGTTTCTGTTACCCTAATTTCTTCCTCTGTTTGCAACCCTGTTCTTTTCTCCAGAAAAACAAAGCTTGTGAATGGCAATCAAAAGAGCAGGTGGCAGGGACTCCACTAAAGACAGGAAAGGCAATGTACATTGTTACTCAAGAACACAGGACGACGCTGACAGCATCACCCATTTTATTTACTTCTGGAAAGAAATTATGAGTATATACACAATGGAAGGCTTAATCACTTATTTGACCCACCATGGCAATGCTATTGTAAGACATAATAATAACATTAACCATATTACCAGGCTGATTATCCTACAGTGTTATATATGCCATCACCTGCCAGCAATGTCCTTCTGCTCCCTTCCTCATCATTTAATTTTTGTCCCACAACATATCCAAGAGGTGGTGGGTGTGCAAAGTGATAACTATTACACATGTTCCTTTCACAAAGATTATCCAATTCAGTCTGTTGTCTGTGGGTGTTTGATCTTCTTTTTCATTTCTTGTCCAGGCAACTTGGCCTTGATTTTATAGCTGGCTCAGCCAATGATGATTAATGCTCTCCAGACACCTGGATGAGAACCTCATGTATCAGTCATAACATGCCTAATTAAATTGTTGGCTTAATCCTAACCTTCTTGAATACAGAGAATTCCACATCAAACAACCTTCATTTGATTCTGCTTCCCACGTTGCAAGAATGGATGGGATTAGTCCTTTTAAAATAGTGAAAGGTGAGATTCCCTCTGCTCAGTTCTGAAATACGTGGGTATTTACAAGCTCTTGTTACAAACAGTTGGGAAAAACCTGTTTTCTAATTATTCTATTCCAGTTGGCTCAGATATTGCAATGATATATTTTACCCTTTTCCATAATGGATCTCATGTATGTATGTATGTATGTGTGTGTGTGTGTATGTGTGTGTGTATACTGTGTATATATATATATGTATATGTATATGTATATGTATATGTATGT